TTTGATAAGGTTTTATGTATTTTGCAGTTTTTTTAATTAGCAATGAAAATAACTATTAAAAGTGAGATTTAAATTCAAATATATTTCTTTGGTTGTAGTCAACTTTGATTTTTATGTCTTGAAAATATATTGTTTGGCTGAAATGCAATTATTACCATTTTGGAATCCATGTATATTACTTAAGGGAAAATAATTGGTACTTCTTTTACTTTAACACTCCTGCCAATACCCATTGGTATAACCATTACATTCTGCACTTGAAAGATTTCCTAACTTGAATTGAAATTTGAAAATAATAATTTTTTAATAATTGTATTGTAAAATCTATTGAACTAGAGAGTATATTAATCATTATCTTTATTTAAGTTTTTAAGTTCTACATGGATATTAGATTTATGAGATTGACAATGTATTTTTTTTTTTCACTAATCTACTCTCTTTTTTCTTTTTTCTTTTTATACAAAGCCAAACAGATGTAATTAAATTGAAGATTTAATTTCAAATTCAGGCTCAAATTTGTAATTCACAAACCAATTATCATTTAAATCTAAATTTAACAGGATGCTAGAAGATTTTGAATTTGCATGTTAAATTTTCCAATGGCAGTGGAATGCCCTATAAATAAGGCATTTACATGTCAAAGCCTCCTTTGTAAAACACGTTAAAAGAATCAAAATAAATAAATAAATTTCCTTTACAACATTCAAATTAAATGCCTGTAATTTGTCATTATTGTGTTTTAGGTATGTAGTCTAAGTTATAACTTGTTTGAGGTGACCATTCTGTAAACTTGGATGCATCTTCGTTCCTGGCTTTCATCTTTTAGGCTTAGATAGTGGGTTGAGGCAAGTAACTTCTTTGCCATCTGCTGAGAGGATATATCTGCTTTCTTTTGAGTTTTATTCATTCATTCCTAAGAAACTGGTAACATGGATTGATGACATTAATCTTTTTGGTGAAATGTTTCAGCATGCAAAAGACCATTGAACGATACTCTGTATACAAAAGAAATTTCCAACTCACAAGCTTGAAATGGAACAACACATGCAGGTTAGACTTCCATCTTTCATTGTACAGATTATCCTTGAATACTTTTCCGAGAAAAGGGAAGTTCAAAATTTATTTGTTTTTCATAGAAAACAGAAACAATTATAGTTAGGAAAGAAAATTGTAAGGTTTGGTGTTTTAGTTGAGGATCCTTGCACAATCTGAGTTATACGAAAAGGAGGAGCTAGCGTGAACATTTAGACGAAGCATAGATGATATTTTATATAATATAATTCTATTTGGAAAGGGATGATACATACTTAAGTTACAGTTGATTAAAATGACAATTAACTTGGTTGTCAATCTGCTCCTTTTATTGTTTGTAGGGAAGTTACATTTTAGCATTTTGTGGTTTAAGATTAGTGCACAAAAAGACCTAATATTTTAAAATATGAATATAACATACTTGTAATTTTAAGATCGGTGTACATAAAGACTTGAGATTTTAAAATGTGCAAATAAAGAATTGAGTTAAGTATTAGGTGCATATAATCAGTCTAACTTACATGAATTGTAATAAATACCCTTACTTTTGTTTTCTTCTCATTATTTTAAATTAAGGGCCTTTAACGAATTTCAAGTGGTTATCCGCACCAAGAGCAAATCCCAGGAGTTTATAGGCACATTTTATTATCTCAGATTTTTATCTACACATACCCAAAATCTCAAGTCTTTATGTTAACTAACCTCAATTCATTTGTAGTTAAATCATAGTTTCCCCTTGTTTGTTTCATGGCTTCGGATTTTAAATCCAAGATTTGGGAAGTGAAGAGTTTCAAAGCTCAGACAAGTGCTTATTCTAGTCTCCTAGAAACAAGTTGCCAAGGGGGCAGTCCAAAACACGGTTATAATACTTCGTCAATTTCAGCAAATCATTTCAAGTATTAATCAAATCCTTGCAATCTTTCGTTTTAACTAGTTTTTGTGGCTTGACTCTTTGATACATATGATTGGATTTCTCTATATATAATCTACATTAAATCTTCATTGCTCTCATCAAACTACTTGCTTTCTGAATTATAATAAATTATTAGCCTACTGCTGGTAACCATACTTTCGGTTCCTCAAAAAAATTTCAAAGTGCAGCACCTGACGATTGAAACGGCAAATATGTTTAAGGAGATTGAGTTTCCTCGAAGTTTCTAAAAGGTTCAACGATTTAATCCTTATGTCATGTTACTTCATCTAATCCAGGTGAAAGGATTCCTATAGTTTGAAATTTTGATCTTACACAGGAAGCTGTAGGGTCAAGGATTAGGCTCATGTTCTGTTGAGTAACTTCAAGAGATTGGTAGCCAGCTAGAATAGAGCTTGAGGAACATCAGGGCAAGAAAGGTTTGCGACCCTTAGAATTGCATTTAGGCTAAAAGTAATTACATTACATTAATGAATCAATACATGATTACAAGATTTCTACTTTCCAAGGGAAATTAGCATTTGAGTTACTGTCAAATCAGTTTTTCAGGATATTTATAGTATTCGCACCATCGTCGGACCCTTTATACAACTGCCACATTCCCTTAGATTCGCCTCTTCCTTGGGTCATACTCATAGATAGAGCTGCAACCCACATTCTTATAACCATTTAAGTGGGTCCAAAATCTCCTCTGTGATGTGGGACTGAAGTATCTAATGTACCCTGTGATAGATTCTTCCTGTGCCATCTACCTACATGCAAGGGTCTTTGGCTTGACGTTCCTTGTGTCATTGACTAGATTCTTCATTGTGCTATGCATCTATTTACATACAATTTCTAGACAATTCTTGAAAATTGTGTTTGCTTGCATGAAAGTATGTAGACTAAACATGTTATGCCCTATATTATAGGCCCAGTTATTTAAGGAGCGGATACAACAACTAAAAGTGAAGGTAGGATTAACCCCCCATTGAATTAAAACATATATTGCTTCCTCAATCTTCTAGTTCTAAGTGTCTCAAGAATGTCCTTTTTTCTTTCTTAATGATACATTTTTAATCTTAATTTAGGAGAGAATGTTATTAGAAGACAATGGGCAGTTATGTGAAAAGGTGAGTCTTTCATTTCCAAATTTTTGAGTTTTTTTTTTTTTTAATACTTAAAAAAACCCCACAGTTTTGTGGTTCAACCAGATGCTAGAATGCAAAACCTAGGCCTTTGGATGATTGGGTTTGCCCTACAATCAAAACCCATTTCATTGAATTACTCTGATTTTGTAGTCTAGTATATTTTAAATTGTAAAACACTATTTTGAATGAAAATAAACTAACTCTCTTTTAATATGTGTATTAGTGTGGGGCTCGTGGAAAGCCATGGCAATGACCACTAACCCAACAAAGGAATGCAATAAATGATAGTGCCCAAAATAACCAATGTTCGGAAGTTGTGACGGAATTGTTCATTGGTCTGCCACAAAATCGTTAAATATCAAATGGCAGAATTAATTTTTAGTTGAAATTATTGTTTTGCTCCAAATATGTTGTATGATTGATGTATGTGGTTAGTTAGTTCACTATTTTTCACTTAATATTTTCTACTCTAGATGTACATGATCTAAATGTAAATATTTTATCTGGTGTAAGAATACCATAAAAATATATAGTGAAGATGTTGGGCATCATGACTTTTTATGCACTACTGAGAAAATTTAAAACAATCTAGCTTTTATTTTAAAAATAAATTATTTTAATATTTTTCATTCGGAGTTTAGTGAGTCAATGGGTAGTTTTGAAATGTACTTATCTTATAACGATTTGAATGAAAAACTATTTTTCTTTAATATCTTTTAATTCTATTGTTAACTTACTACAATAAATAAAAACATCGATATTCATTTTTCTCATCATTCTCATTAATTATATGATTAGAATTAGGCAGGGTTACAGATGTAATATATATTTATTTTTTAAATTAATTTATATAAAAATTTAGAAAAGTTTATTTTTATTTTAACATTGTTTATACATAAGTGATTTTATTTGACTAATTGAAGAAATTAAATGTAACATATAAACTTTTAGTTGTAAAAGAGTATGTTAATTATATTTACACCCAATACACATGTTAAAAAAACCTTAAGTACGTATTTTAATTTAATATATTACATAATATTCTTTTTAAAAATTATTATTTTTATACTTAAAATTAAATATAAATAAAATTAAAAATATAACTGGACATGTAAAATGTAAGAATTAATTAAATTAATTATATTTATATTATAATTTTAATGATTATATTAAATAAATTTTAAAAAATATATTAAATTAAATATATATCAACCATTTTCTTAAAAAAAGATAATTTGAGAAGTTACTAAATCTTTATTTCACTGAAAGAAGAAAAGAAGTTGGAGATTGTTGATCCCAAAATGAGCCTTCAACACGTGGCCCCAGCAGCCAGCAGCCAGCAGCCTCTAAATTGAGGGCCCAACTGCATGATGAGAGAAAGAAATATAAAACCAATCCACCTATAAAGCTACATATGGGAATTTCTTTGGTGACCTACGGAGTTACGTGGAGATCCCCGTCACAAGATGAAGATTTCAAAAATGTTCTTTCTCGTAAGGTAGAGATGGAAGTATTTTTTACCTTGTAAAATTTTGTAAGAAATTTCTTTCGTCTCATGGAGAATCGTGAGGATTTATATAAAATAAAAAAAAATATATAATTTTTTTTATATTTTTTTTGTAAATATATTAACAATTAATTTTTATTTACCCAACCTACTTAGCTAATCCAATACTGACACAACCTAAATTTCACAATCCATTGTTTTTTTAGTTTTCCCAAACCCAATTGTCAAATTTAGCCCATTCTTTTTGTCAATCTAGTATTCCTAAACCTAATTGCCAAGCTCAATTTGCATTGGTAACCCTAGAATGACTATCCAAAGATTTCAAATTTGCAATTCCTCCTCTTTAGTCTCCTTTATGTTGTAACTCGGTTTCTGCTCCTCAATCCTCATCTGTGATTCCCTTCAAGCTCTCATCGTCACTACTCATTGTGCAACCACTACAATGCTAATCTTCTCCCATCTTTCACTCACTCTTGACTTGACAACTTTTCTCCATTCCCTTAACCAACTATCAATAACTCATCTCATTCTCGCCATCCATCATTATTACCATTGAAATTGATAGTGGTTGGCTGCTTGCCTAAGTTGCCTCCACAACTCCACTCACATTCATGGCTCACTACTCACCCTCAGCTCCAAGGCTCAAGTCGTCCTCTTTACCTCTCGTGACAACAGGTCCTCTAAATCGTAGCTCACAAATTCCTCCTTTACAGCTCTAGTTTTGATTCTCTTCAAGCTCTCCAACTCCAAGTCAATAAGTCCTCCTCACTTCGCACTCACAACACACTTATTTTTCTTCTTTGTGCTTTAGTGCTTATGATTTAGAGTACTTCAATAATTTTGAAGCTGTAGTTTTTCCATTAAACAATTTGTTTCTAATCAATCAATTAACAAGCCATTAACTTAATAACTAGTAATTTCTAATTTGATTCATTCTTAGGTATCAATTAACAAATGTCTTCACAAGAGCCTATCCCCTCACTGATTCAAATTCCAAATGAATCAAGTGCAAGTATTATACCGAACCTTGGTGTTACTACTGTTACACCAACTTCATCCTCAGCTATGGTTCCTCTTACATTAGAAAGTGGTGACAATCAAAAAGATGATCAAAGGCATAAGCGACCACTTACTTTTGAAGCATGGAACCATTATAGGAGGCAAAAAATTGATGGACATTGAAAGCAATTTGTATCTATTGCAATAAACATCTTGGAAGCGAGACCAAGAATGGGACAAGTCACTTGTGTGATCACACTTTGGTTTGTCCGTTGAAATCTACTTCTGAAATAAGGCAGATATTCTTGAAAGCTTCAAAGAATTAAAAAGGGAAAATGAAATGTGGGCATGGATTTTTCAATCAAGATATTGCTAGAAGGAAACTTGCATATATGATTACTTTACATGAGTTACCGTTATCAATTGTTGATCATATTGGATTTAGAGGATTTATTGTTGCTTTTCAACCAAGGTTCAAGTCTGTTTGAGAAACACAATGAAGAAGGATATCATGGGCATTTATCGTAATGAAAAGTCTAAAACAATGAAGTTGTTGGATGCCAGTCAAAGTAGAATTACCATCACAACTGATATGTGGACTTCAAATAATCAAAAGAGAGGTTTTATGGTCATCATAACACATTATATTGATAATTCATAAATGTTGTAAAATTGAATTATCAGGTAATATTTTATTATTTTTGTTTTGATTTTTTTAAATATATATTTATGTTTAGGTGTTTGGAATATTTAATGTGATTCTTTCTATTGTTTTTTACAATTTTCAATATATGCCTTGTCAATATACTTCTAAGGTACTTGCGAATTAAGACTTTACTAGATTGTTTGATGGATTGGAATATTGATAGGAAATTGTTTACTATCATAATAAATAATTATTCTACTAATGATGCCGTGGTAAATGTGTTGTTAGGAAAAGTTTCTGATGATTCATATGGGTAGAAGGAAGCTTGATACATATACGTTGTTCTACCCATATCCTAAACTTAATTATCAAAGATGAGTTGGAGGTAATTGTTGATGGAATTGAAAGAGTTAGAAATATTGTTACTTTTTGGATAGTAACAGCAAAAAGAGTGAAGAAATTTGAAAAGATAGCCAAACAATTGAAAATTGTTTTTTCAAAGAAGTTAGGTTAAACCCCTATTTTGGTCACTCAACTATTGTACAGATCTCCAATTTAGTCCTTCAACTCAAAGAATCCCTAATTTGGTCTTTATTATTTACCATTTTAACCCCAACTTGATCCTGCTGTTAAATTTTTTACTACGTGTCTCATTACTTGACAGAAAAAGATGACGTGTAAACAAAGGTTGACACGTAGGATTGACAGTATGACAATTAAGCTTTAACATGTAATTTTCAATTAAAAATTAAAATATTTAAAACTAATTATAAAATTAAAATTATTCTTTTATCCTCTTCTTCAACCACACATCAATTTCTTTTCTTTCTCTTTTTGTTACCCTTTCCTTTTCATTTCCAACCGCTTTGGTTATTCATCTTCTTCCTCCAGTAAACTTCATTT